AATGAATAATTGAATGATTTGGGGCCATGGTCAAGAGTCAAACTCAACCATTGCCTGAGATCGTGCCTTCTCCCTATTATCCCTCTATGTCTCTCACGGGAATAGAGGAGAGAGATTTTTTTTTTTTTCTCTCGCCTCGCCCACCCTTGAAAAAAAAAAGTCTGATCGCAGGTTAACTGAACCATGCATGAAGCATCTACGAGTTTTTAAATGATTTACCGGTTCGCGATAGAATTCTACGCAATACGATGTGGGAAATTGCTTATCAATTGCTGTCATTTATTACTGGCGGCTCTTTCACTGGTGTAGATTGCTCATAAGTACTAGTGAAAAACAATATAATCACTTAAACTCGGTCCTGCTGAAACTGTTCAGTACACCTGACTCATCCCCAGTCGTCTTTCTCTATCACGCCTTAGTGGCGCGAGGGGTATGATATAGGAAGGAGGAAAGCGAGAGTCTTCCTCCCCTTTCCCTTTCCATCACCCCCCGCTCCCTCCGCGCGCGTTACGCGAAGACGACTGGGGACGAGTCAGGTTATACACTATTTATTATTATTATTTTTTTTTTTTTTTCAGTTTTGGCTAAAGTCATGTTTTGGGCGAAATATTGAAGGGAAAGAATACATGAATAAAAGAAAAAGGAATGATGCTGACTATCAAATTTCTATCTAAAACTAGAAAGTTCGTTGCAATGAACGGTCTATTTTTCCAAGTCATGTAATTATCGAGCGTACCTAGACTGCTGCATGAACATGTTTTGAGACGACGACATGCCAACATCTAAATCTTGATCGCGAACTATTGATTAATCTGATCGAGAGACTGATAAAACTAAAAATTACACATACTTGAGGTGGAGCGGATGACGTGGCAGCAGATGCAGAATGAGACGAAGAACCACTCGAGCTCTGCTAACCGAAAACATGAGCAAAATGCACAGTTATTTAGAAGCTCAGAAATCGAACTTTTAAGCTTAAAGATAAAATGAGGGCCATTAGCTTACCTGATTTAGATAAGCGTTGAGGGCCTCAGATAATCATATAGCTTGCGAAGCGGCTGATGACAGTCTTCTTTCAAGATCGTCCGCCATGGAAAACAAGAATGACCTTCCCGCCGACTTTCCCGCCAAATTTTTAATAGAGTACGAGCCCGCAGTAACACTTGCGCATTTGCGATTCATAAATTGCAGAGTCAGACATCTTGATCTTTGAATTTATATATTGCAAAGTCCAACATCTTGCGATGTATAAATTGCTACGATGCTTATTTATTTTGTGTTGTGTTTGTTTCTTTTCCTTTTCATCATTACAAAAAGTTTGAAGAGCTTATCACGATCTACATCTTCTAATAAAGACATAAAAATGCGGGTCTCGAGTCCGATTTTGTCCGTAAGCCACAGTCTTGTTCTTTCTCTTACCTTTTCTCCTCTCTCTCTCTTCTTTATTTGATTGGGTGCAAAAGAGAAGAGAAGAGCGACCAAACTAGAATCGTAATAACCTCTATCAATCACGACTCTTTGACGTTGGCGCACGAATTAGCTATAGGGGCCGAAGTCGTCGTGGACTGTTCATCCGGGCAGTATTAAACTATTTAGTTTCTATGGTGGGAGGATCGGTTCTGATAACTTGCTGTATTATGGCTTTCTCATGATCTTGAACTGACAAAAGATCTGCTTAGTCGGCAAAATTCAAGATCTGGAGCACTTGAGAACGTCAATCAATTCACCCTTCTTGACGGTGAATGAAAATTTTTAAGAGGTTAGCCTTCTTGCGCGGGACCTGCGTTCTGAAAAGCTTGCTGCAGTGATAAGCAAGTCAAGACTGTCCGTGAAACTCGGCTACCTGCGAATAGAGAAATTGCCAACCGCTTTTCTATCATATATCTATCTAAACACGTAGCAATTGCAAAATGTCGCTGCTAACAGTGTTTCTATTCGTCCAATCAGTAATGTTAGGCTCAAAGGTATTAGCCTGGTATTTAGTGTTTAACACACTTACACGGTTATCAATTAATTTCATGTAAGGAATGGGCAAACGTTTATTAATAAGTGACATCCAGTATTTGCTTCCATAGGAGTTAAAAGTAAATTTTATAGTCTTTTACTGAAGAAGACATGTTAACATGAATTTTTTTTAGCGCAAAAAAGTAATAATAAGACCTTTAAGCGCCTCATCTCGATAGCGACCTCAGGCAACTTCTTTTGTTTGTTGCTTCCTCGAAAGAAAATAACTTCATGAGAAGAACAGTCATGTGGCTTTCTGATTATCTGTATGGTTACATTTTCCTATATAGCGTCATTAATTGCTGCACTTGATGGAAGATTTTGAAAATAACTTGGCTGATCTACTTCTCAGTATCCCATAGCAGTAGCACGCTATTTCCGACAAGTCGGTTTTTTTAAATAAGATCAAAATACGAAGCCTCTAAAGTTTTTAAAAATATTTTAACTATAGCAAAACTTGTGATTCTCTGACTTAATGTAATGGTATAATAAGGCATAGTTAATACTAGTAACAGTTGATACTACAGCTGTTCCCGCTCTGTATATAGTCGGTCAATAGTATTCTTGTTCGTTGTGTAGTTCTTTGAAATATACCGATTGATAATGAAGATTATCACACATATTCCATACAATAGGTGAAATAAATACAGGAAACGCAAGGTTCCATGCACAGTTTCAGTTCGATTTACACAGCTTTGATCATTCTCAGTTTTGAGAATAGTTTATTCTAAACCATAAGAAAAGATTTAATTCGAAGTTGAATTTTTCGCTATTTCTCTTTCCTTTTTTACATTCAGTTCATTTTATTTGCCGGAAAGTAAGCCTTATATTAGACATTAAAAGGACGTTTGTCTGATCAATTCACGCTTCCGCATTCTAGTCTTATTTTAAACTTTATAGGGGAAGGACATCTCTGGACAGGGAATAAAAATTAAGTCAGCACAGAATTTGATTGTTGGCGAATTTCTGTAATTATCCATCGTTCTGCTAGTGATAATAGCTAGCCGTTGTTCACTCGTCTTGCTTGTTTGGGGCTGCGTCTTATTCCGGTCAAAGAGACAGAAAGAGTGTCTGGCATGGTTTCCAATCAAAGATTTGTGAACTCGTGTCTGGCAAACTCTTCAATAGCCTGTTCCAGGCGTTTAGATAGTAAAGCGCGGCGGTCAGTGGGGAGCGAGTTAAATTGCACTATCTGAACGCCTGGAACAGGCTAACTCTTCAAGTGTTTATATACAGCTATGTCGAGAAAAGTTGTCGGAAAAGATGTGCACGCGACAATCCCGAAAGGTAATATGGGATATGATGGATACTCTGTTCCTGATGACTGTAGCTGTCGAACCTACTTTTGTTGCGTTCCGTTAGCACTTGCAAACACATTTTCATGGCCTTTAGTGCCAATTCTTTCAAATTTCTCTGAAGAATAGTGAACTTGACTGTAGCTGTCGAACCTACTTTTGTTGCGTTCCGTTAGCACTTGCAAACACATTTTCATGGCCTTTAGTGCCAATTCTTTCAAATTTCTCTGAAGAACAGTGAACTTAAAACCACCGACAATGCGTTTCGCGATTGTCACGTGCACTTTTTCCGACAATAGCTGTATACACAGTTATACGCACCTTATAACTTCATCTGCGCTTAACGAGCGTCTTTTGGTCCATAACTTTCAAAGCAACTGCTCCACGGAATGTCACTAATAACACGTAACGCAAAAGAATATGGAAGTATGACCGCAGAATGTCACAAAATCTACCTAAGCGGTCCCTTCGGGATTTTCTGTCTTTATGTCACCATTTCGTACTTGCGGGCGCAAACAATAGAAACGTCGTCATTACCTAGCCGATTCCTCGCGGTCCCTGTTCAAGCAAATCGAGATTTTTTCTGGCATGCTCACTGTATATTTCATTTCAACTGTAAGTACTTTCCTTAATATACTCGCGAGTTACTAGAGTGTCCCCTCGGGATTTCGCCCAGCCTGCGGGAGCAACTACGTTTAATAGACCTTTTCCCGCTAAAATTAAAGTGAATGTATGGGATTTTGGCCCACTTGGAACCGCTACAATGCCGCTACAAAAAAGCGGATTTCCACAGCGAAAATGCATTTTAAAAGACATTTAATTTATACTGAGATTATTTTCATAAAGTATAAAGAAGAGATTCAGGTTATAACGACCGTAAACGAATTTTTAAGATGTCATACAAACCCTTCTAATCGACATTATGCAAATTAGAAGCCACATGAGAAGATTTATAATCCGAATTCATACTGACGTCGTACCTTCTTTAATAGCCTTATTTCTATTCAATGAATGATATCAATCAAACTATTTAAAGTAGTGGCAAATGTTGGAAATCCGTCTCTCTGTAGCGGCTTTATAGCGATTCCAAGTGGGCCAAAATCAGCCATACTATGACATTCACTGTAATTTTAGTCGTCTTTGCCCCCCAGCCAAGATGACGTCAAATACGTGAAAAGGTCTTTTGCGTAAAAACAAGCGATTGCCTCGCAGGGTGTGCCCATCAGACGCTGTAATAGACGTTTCCAGTGAAGTTGAATGGTACCCCATTCTCATGTCAACGCTAACAAAAGTAATAACAATGTCATTATCTTGAGAATGAAGAAATTGGACTTGACAATGGCGTTAGTGAACGTCGTACGGTCGTTTTTAACTTTTTCTAACTTCTTTTAATATAAGAAACATTTTAGCGCGGTATTTTTATCCAAAAATCATTAATAATTCATAAAGAAAAAACAGAAGAAATTAATAAACGCAATAATTATTTATAAGCCAAGCTGGACAAATGAATGGGCTATCCTAGTGAAGAAAAAATTGTTCTATTTTTAAATAAACACAAACACTAAAAATTAATAAAATGCTAATGATGCATTTCCCAAAGGTGAGTCTTCAAGTTTATCTCGATAGAATCTTGGACGTTCACATCAATTCATTACGTATTATTTGTCCTGAATTAAAGCATACTTCTTGTATGTTCTCTTGCAGTTGGCTGCAGCATCAAACGACTGTCCCCCATTACAATACTATAATGGTGCATCATGTGCACCATGCTCAACTTGTCCTCGAGGATTCGGTGTTAAGACCCAATGTTCAGCCCTGAAAGATACAGAGTGTCAAGAGTGTTGGCCTGGATATGATTATTCAGGGACAAATGATATGACGCCGTGTATTAAGTAAGTCAGAACTAACGCAATAGATGCATTCAGTGTTATGAGATTGTTGGCGAGTTTATGTCCTTGTATTGTTGCTTGAGGTTGTTCATTCTACTGCGAAGATCATGTTCAGTTTCAAATACTGTAATGATAGACTGCGAATAATACGCTCATTTTTTTCTCAGGGATAGTAAAGTGAGCGAGATACGTCAGAGCGCACGTGATATTTTCTTCCTATTAACCCCCTGACCAACCTCGAAGCCCCTTGCAAACGGACGCAACATTGTTGGCCAAGACCTTTCAACATTGTTGGATGATACTACTTATTGTGTCCCTTTGCACATCCTGTTGCATGTCGTTGCATCTGTTTGGACACCATTGCAACACTTGCGGCAACCAAGTTTGGAGTTGTTGCCTCCGTTTGCACATAGCTTAACGGCCTTCCCTCCGCATGTAGCCTCTCATATAAAAATGGTAATTCTAAAGAATATTGGCGTCATTTGCTTACTATACTACCAAAAAGGAAAGCCGGTCAGGGTTTACTCAAATACTGTCTCACAGATAGTTACAATGAAGAAATAACAAGGTATCCAGTTTCACTCTTCTCTAGCCTTTTCCTAATTTTTTCTTAACTTTGATTTTTCCCCAAAAATCATTTTCAGGAGCCTTTTAACATCAGGGTCTTTCTTCGTTTCACAGATGTATTAACGACCGTTCAAATTGTCCCGATGAAAATTTTAAGGTGATAAGGAAGTGTACAATATATTCCCCAACTCTCTGCAGTGGTTGTGACGAGGGAAACTATTTCGACAATAGTACAGGATTAGACGGGGGATGTGTGGAGTGTTCAAAGTGCGCCATTGACGAAGTGGAGACACAAAAGTGTAGCACTGCACATGACCGAAAATGTGAAAAGAAGCCATCGACTACGAGTGAAATATGGGCCCCAAGTAAGTATAACTAAACGCAAACAAAGGAAACTGGCATAGTCTGTCCCTTTTCTTTTTAGTCTTTGCCAACTTTCTAAGTCCACTTGCTGATGGAGACAGGTATTTTGTTCTTTAAATCATCAGTTATTCAAAAATATTTCTCCGTGTCTGATTGGCTCAAATGCCCCGGCTAATTCTCTCTAACCAACTAGCGTTGACCAAATTTGGAAGACGTTTGCGGTATCTCGTAAAATGACGTAATTTGAATAGCACATGATATTGTCAGAGAAAGGAACAGTAGCATAGAAGCCCTGAGGACGAGGTTGCGTTAGCTTTGCTGTTTTGGTAGAGCTGGAGAATATGGCAGAAAATTATGCACTTTTTTTAAAGAAGTAACGTTGTGCCTTTAAACTTAGTAAGAACAGTGAAAATATAACTCGGCGGTTGGTAACTGCTGCTTGAGTATAAATAGCTAGACTAAACATCTCTTAGCTTTCTATCCTGAGTTTACCGAGGAACGGGCAAATGAAGACGGGAACTTGACCGACCGAAAAATCCACCGGCGTCGAAAGCTTGGTACCCATATTCCCTGGTCGGTTTTTGGGGTGCGAAATGTCGATATTTCATAAGTATGGCCGCGGCGAGTAGAACAAAGTCTGAAAATGTTTATAACCGTGCTGGTAAACGAAAGCCTATGGGAAAATCACTGTCAATATGTCCTGGTCACTTACAAATTAACGAGGGAAATCGTCAGTAAATCGTGAGATGATAGAAAGAGTGTATAAAGGTTTCTGCAGCCAAATTTTACCGTTTACAAATTGAGGGCTGTGTCAACAAGGCTGTGCACCTTCTAGGGGACCCAACGAGTTCTTTCTATAAGGTAATACCGTGTGGAGGAGCAGATACTGCCTAGAAATTAAAGCTCAGGAATTCGAAAGGCCAAAAAAAACACCCTGGATAACTGTCCTATTCATCTGAGATATCAGTGTTTTTTTTTTTTCCTACTCAAACTTACCTGATTTTTGGAGGTTGTGTTGCACGTTGTTCACATTTTGTTACCACGCTATTGCGATTACTGTTTGCAAAGGTATCCCGAAAATTTCGTTATAAAGACGAAACGCTCCCTAAAATCTTGTAATTGAAAGTACGGCTACTCCATGTCCTCCAACTTTCGACCGGCCCCTTTAGAGTGGCTACCAATTTCAAATGAGACGAAAAATCACTTAAAACTTTCGAGACGATCAAGACACTGATCCCATTCAGATAAATTGTTTTTTAAGGGCAGCGCCAAATGAACAAAACACGCTTCTACAAAATAGAGAAAACCAGTGGAACACGTTTGACGTTTTATCTTAACAACCTAAGCTTTATTTGCTTGACTATATGAAGTTACAGTATTGTAAAACCTTTACGATAAAGTTACAATTAATACTAAAAATTGATAGGTATAATAAGACAATCAATGATTACAATGCAAAACATTCAAAACATTCGGTCGTTGGGTGCTCCTAATATTCATACCACTGATCTGTCAGCATCAGGTACAGCTGGTCAAACAGAAATCACCAAGACAGCGAGCGTTCCCAGTAGCAAGAATATTGATCGGATTGATTGGACACAGGCCTCCACTACGGAACGTCCGGATCCCGAAGAGAGAACCTCAGGGAGCAAAACATTAGTTTGGGGACTTCTATCCGGTTTCCTAGTATTACTGGCTGCAGGTGTCGCTATTGCGATCCTATTACGTTGGATTAGAAGAAGAAGAAATAGAAGAAGAAGAAGACGTAAGAAGAACGAAGACTCCAATGGTTCGGCTCATCAGTCCACTCCATTAATGCAGCAGCGTAAGTAAATAAATAACAAATTAACATAAAGGGCATATAATTTTCTTATTTTCTTTCTGTGAAGCGTTTAATATTGAAAGCAAATATAAATTACTCGTTATTTCACATTATACAGTCAAAAAGAATCATTGTGGAGGGTCACAAATATTTGAAAGACCCGTAGACAATACTTTGTTAAATATTAAATGGTAAGTAATAAGTCATATCAGACTTAAAACATTTTGAACTATTTTCAGATAAATGCAAGTTGTCAGTGTGTTTTTGAGAACATAGGAATTGTTTTTTTTCTCCAATCAAGGGAATAAATTTTTCACTGAGGAGCCAGAGGTCCGTGAAGGTCAGCTGAAATAGTGAGATTTGAGATATTTCAAAGACTTTTTTACGGCTAATGTCAATCTACGTGACGGCCTAAAAAAGGGTAGGCAGTTTGACGGCTGTCGGTTGACTGCTATGAGACCCCCATGAAAACCGTATTAAACGGCAGCCATGTTGGTGTCCCAAACCAATTTAAACCTTTTTCTAATTAAATAATATAAACTTTTTTGTTGACAAAAATTTTGCGTAACTGCTGGCCATGTGAGTGTGAAAAGATGGCTCCATATGAACCAAACCAAGCATATCCTCACTATAAGATTGAATTCTGAATCAACTATAAGATGGATTCAAGGTAAGACAACGCTATAAGTTCATGCTTAGAGAGCGTTCGGTCTGACACATAACTAAACTTTCTGTTAATCGATTCACTTATATAGGAATAGAATCAACAACTTTTTTAAAAACCGTAAAATTCCTTAATTGTTTCACTGGATAAGATTACCCTGTAGTTGCCAATTTTATATAAATGCTAGGCCCTCAATATTCTTAAAAAATCTTTCATTTCACTTTATTATTTTTTAACTTTCATAGCTGAAAGAAATGTTAACGTTATCACAATAATAATGTCTTTATTTTTCTTTTTTCTTTCCTTCTTAGATGGGTTGGATACATTAATTTCAAACATCAAAACTGCTGATAGAAAGTTCATAACCATGCACCTCAACGAAAAGGATACTCATGGTAAATTTCCTTTTTTTTTTTTTTCAATTTTTAGGGTTTAATGCTCTCTTTATGGGTATATTTGACGAAATTGAAGTCGCGATGGTCGCTATATGTTTGATGAAACGACGATCGTAGAGATTAATTAAGTGAGCGATGGCATTGCAATTCTGATCAATTTTGACGGCGTTAGTCGTGCGATGGCGGCAAAGAATCTCCAAAAAGTGTGCTAACAAGTTTAGGGTTATTGTTTTGCTTATTAAATCCCTTTTTCTTTTAATTCTCTCGTTTCGTCGTCGTCGTCAATTCATGCGACGATTGTGTTGAAAATCAGGCGGTGATTTGATGGAAGCTCGCGACCAAAAAATGTACCCATAGAGAGGCCTATGGTTTATGCGATCAGATACCACTTTGTTAAAGCTAGACTTACACAGTTTGCAGTGTGGAGAGCTGAGAAATGATGATTAAGTCTTGCGGGCTGTCAAGGTCTTACAGAGAGTCCCAATTACGTTATTTTTGGGGAACACTCATCGTATAGGAAAGTCACAGGGGTCAAACGGATTTTTTTTCTTAGTATTAGACAGTGTTTACTTAGTCTTGTTGGACTGATTGGTTCTATATTCCCAATTTTATACATTATAACTTGTTGCTCCTACAGTTCCGCTTCCCTCAGTCCTTTAAGCTCTTAAATCCAAGGCTTTAAATATTTAAATAATTCCTCTATACAGTATACTGATTTAATGACTCGAGATGCAGATAATACACAAGGGTTTTTAGAGTTGTCGGCTGTTTTGTGTGCAGTAAGTAAAGTATCTGTGCAGCTGAAGAGGTTTCATTCGCATTATTCAAAAGTCTTTTGCACTCAACCAAGATTCCTCGTATATTTAAATACTTTAAGTTGTACTCTTTTCATTTTAGGGTATCACTACTGGAAATTTGTTGCCGACCACGTTGGATTAAAGGAAGAAAAAAAAAACTGGGAACAATCGGATAATCCAGCAGAGAAATTTCTACAGGCGTTCTCTGTGAAGGAACACAGCACAATCGGAAAGCTCATTGAGGCGTGCGGGGAAGAGGCTGGTCTGACACTCCTTGTTAGTGAGCTGAAAAAAAAAATTTCAGCAGCAAACCAGAGTGGAAGCGTTGAAAATTTGGCTCCGAACGGATCTACATGGGTGTAAAGGGCATAGGGCGGTTTTCAACTGAAGCCTCATGAAAACGGACGCAAAATTGTTGAGTGATGTAGCATCTTTCGTAAGGTCTCCTCTGATTGGCTAAAGGCTAATTCTTTTGTTTTATGAACTTTTATATATCGGTTTATAATTTTTTAACCTGAGATGCATGATGTTTGATAGTTGATTGTAATTAAACTAGAAGGTTGATTTAAATTTCATACTAGAGATTGTCATTTTAAGACTTAAATGGAAAGTAAGCATTGGGTGAGAGCTTGACACATAAAGAGAGGTATTAATTATAAGGTGGAAGGGCATAAGAAGAAAGGGGCAAAAGAGAGCCTTTCTCCCTACTCTCTCCCTCTTCCATTTTTGCGCCTGTCACGGAGACCAGCATTCTACAGGATTTTGATGGATTTCACGTGTTCAAGGGTTTCAAGCATCGAGCAAACATTTATTATAGTCCTCTTGATTATTTGGGAAACTGTTATGGACAGTGGTATAACAAATAGTATTGAGAACCTTTGAAGGCTCCTCACAATTCATTTCAATCATGATCGATTTTCCGTATCATTGTCACGTGCGCATAATATTCCTAAGTCGATCTTTTAAACAAGTCTCAACTATTGTCAGAGCTGGCATTCAGGACATTGAGAGGCTCGTTCCTGTCTAACGATCTCTCCAGGACAGTCTTTTTTAAAAATTGTTTTGTCTACTTTTGAAATTGCGGACAAATTAACCCCGCCTCCGCTAAAACAGGACGAATTATTTACTAAGTACATTACAGTGGGCATTTCCTGTTGTATCAAAAAACTACTAACGAAATTGAAACGAAAGATCATTTTGAAAGCAAAACACCGCCTTATTATTATTAGAACTGTAATCTAGGCTGGAATTCTAGGAGGCTATAGCTAGTGATCTCAATATTTTTTGTTCAACTTCATTGAACTGTTATTTGTCTAGCCGTTCGTGTAGTCATGTTCTGCTGTCTGGAGACACAAGGATTGCTCAAGCAGGGTCCTTGACCTCGTTTCATTCATTGTTCGCCTCTGCAGAGGGACTTTCTCTGATTTTCTTTTTCTCTCTGATTGGATGGAATATTCTTTTATTGGTCTTTTAATGCGGTAATTGCATCACCCACGTGTCCGTTCAATTCATGACACTGTCGTTGAATGGTTTTGATGACAGCCCAGTAGCCGTATATATTTACTCCTTGATGTTCTCATTGACTGCGATAAGGCTAAGCCACACTAGGGTGGTACAGAATCCGTTCATTGATACTAATAGTTAATGGCATTATTGAACTGATGGTGTTCAGTTGAAATATTTGTCTGTTCACTGAGTCAGAGTGACTTACTTGGCTTTGTCTTATAACACATCTCTGACGCGCCCACAGTTTTGAACGGCAGTGTTCATACATCTGAACGCGCGGAACATGACATATATTAAAGCCAAAAACTCTGAACTGTATATAGTTTACACCCTGTTTTTAAGTGAAGGCTTGATGTGCATTGATTCACACGTGTTGCACATAATTATGTCCAAGAAACTCGAAAATTATCATGACTTGTCTGGCTATAAGCATTTTAACAGTTAAAGCGGGTGATTGATGCCGTAACTGAATAACTATAAGACCCTATAAGAACATGACACTTCGGACAATTTACATGATACCAATCAGTAACTGAAGCGTACCTTTTTTTCTCGCCGGACCCTACACATGAAATACAGCGGCACCTATACGCGACTGATGTAAAGATCCAAAGGGAATATTAATATTATACTAGTAATAATTGCAAATTAGGGGAGTGCGTTCGATGGGGGAGGGGGGGCGGGGGGTGGGTAGTGAGTGCTAGTGGGAAGGAGATGCAAAACCTGATGGGCTTGTAATATTGAGAAATCAAAACCAAACGCTTTTATCAATATGAATATCAACAGCTGTCTTATCAGTGTTATTGTTTATCCTCCCACTTTACAATTCAAGTCACTATTTCATTTTTCCCAAAAAATGCAAGAGCGTAGTGTAATTTTTACATTTCCTTGGCTAAACCTCTAAGTAAAGTACATGTAAGTAACAACAGGTCAAACACCGACTATGATCCTCAGGATATTCTTTTGCACTGTAGGATGGTCAATTAAAATTGGCTAAAAATTGGGATACAGAAAATTAAAGTTATAAGTTTATAAGCGTCGCGTAACATCTTAAACCCTTGTTGCGTGACATTAGGCTAACACGACTCACCTACTTAGCACTATTTTCAAAATACAATGCATCCGGAATTAGTGAGATGAAAAGGTCAACGTTTCACTGTTCAACTTCTTGTATATTTTTCAAAAATCTGAAAAAAGGTAACAAACAAAAGCAAATACAACGCTTTAAATAGCTTTTAAAAGCGAAAAGATGTAATTTGTAATAGGATTAAATCTGGTCGATCTAAGCTGATCTTGCTTGAATTCATAAAAACAAATACAGTTTGCAGAACACATTGTAAACATAACGTCTACACATCCGATTATCTTAGAATGCAAATTTTCTTATATAAAAAAAAAAACTTAATTGAAAACTGCGAGAAAAACTATAAACAAACCTGTAGTAAACAGAAAATCGACAAGGTTTCATGTGCGAACGAGTGTCACAAAATAGATACCAGCTCCCGGGCGAGAAAACTGAACACATGAGATCGAGGCAAAATGTGCCAGGCCAGTCCAAGATGGCGTCCAAACCATGAAATCGCATGGCATACGGAACGGTTACTACATCATGTGCGGTACACGAATAGAAAGCGTTCTCCTTCGTCGAATGCAATTAGCTCGGAACTAATACGCTGTGGAGAAATCTGCGAATGAAGTGTCTGATCTTAAAAGAAAAATCCTGGGGATACTTCCTATCATGACGGCCTAATCACGGGGAAGTCCAACGGATTCTAACGTCCACTCTGTGACCCTAGGACACTTTATGATGCCTGCACAAGGTAATATCATATACACTGACCATACTGACTTGGCCCAGGCTTGTTTAACATGAACTTTCTTAGGGACAGTGTCCCGATTATGCGCACGCGCAAGCGTCCTCTGTTTTTTCTTCAAAAGACAATAGAACTGTCATACTGACTCGACAAGATTTCCTTCCGGACCGCACCGCCGACGGAGATTTGTTGTTTACATTCTACGTTTTTCGTCTTATTTACAATTTGGCTCGGGGCACGAAGAATCATCGCGATTTTATCGCTAGCAGGACCGTCTCGCGACCCGAAAAAATGATTATTAGGACAATGCCAATAATAATAACTTAGTCAGCCACGACCGTCTTAGTTAATCGAATTTTATTAAATCTAACTACTACGGTTTCCTTCTTATCAAGTGTTTGCTGTAATGAGAACTACAGTGTACAGTGTACAATGTGCTTTTTTTCAAATTGAAAAAAGAATATTACTTTATTGAGACAGCATGTCAATGTTCACAGATTGTTTAGTTTAATGATGCTAGTGTCCTGTTTAAATATTTCTCTAACAGCAGCATGTTAATTTTTTTTATGGTCCCCCAAGTGTTTGTATTAACAGAGTTTCACTGTTTGATTAAAGGTAATATATGTCAAACAGTCATGCAGACTTCTTGGGAATTAAGTAGGACAGTGTCATGAAAATTAATAACAAAAACAGTGCGATATACAAGAACTCTGTCAGTACAGTGTAGATTATATTTTCTACCCTAACCCTCTTTCTTGAATTAATGGTGGAGAAAAATTGCCTGTCCCAGCAACAGTACAACTTAATAATTGCTGTATAAGGCAGCTACAAAGAATGTTATTATATTTCTCTTAATTTTGCCAATTACTGTACAGTACTTGTTATTATGAAACTTGGCCTTACAGAAGAAATTACCTCTAAGCAATATTAAATCAAGCTGCATGTAGAACAAACAACTGAAAATAATTATATCTTCCCAACATGCTTATTTTTTTTTTAGTTATACCGGTGCAATCTATTCTAGGTTTTTGTTAATTCGGTCTATCTGTTTCCAGATCTAAAGCTGAAGTTTCCTTTCAGACGCAAACAAATGATAACAAGAAATTATTGCCAGGTCATGCAACAGGATAGGCCTTTTCTTTTGATTAGGTAAAGCCCTTTTGTAATCTTCTATGCTTCTTTTGATGAATTTATACTTCAAACTAACAAACTGTGTGTTAAAGAAACACTGTTCCTTTCTCTTCCGACATGTAAAAATGCCATTGTCTCTTTAATCCATGGAAAATATGAAAATAATGTGGTCCATCGATCTTATCTGCCATGGACCGGCCTTCTCATGAAGTCGACATCTTTCCTGGTAGTCACTGTTTCCATTGCAAATGTCAAATTCAATTCTAAGCAGACTTCGTCTATTGGTATTATTGCAAAAGATTTACTTGTATACTTGCAAAAGCATGGCATAGACACCTAATTTAGATGAATTTTTACGTAAACCTTTTTGTCGCATTGAAAATTGTGGCGACCCCGCTGCTCGCCATGAGAGTTCCTGTAGCTCAGTGGTTTATAGAGCATCCGAACAAGAACTCGTACGGTCGATCGTGAGTTTGATTCTCACCTGGAGCTCGGAAAATTTTTCTGAGCTTTCCTGGTGTTTGAATTCTCCTTCTTCTTTAGTATTAAATATGTGTGGCAATTGACGGGCTTTTATCCTCTGACTAATACTTTTTTATTGTTATTTTTTATTTGTTTATTTACTTTTTTCGTGTGTAAAGGCTGTATGAGTTTTGTTACTTATTTTTACATTTTTTTATTTTTTTATCATGTGTTGTAAATTAAAATTGTTATTTTGTCGTCAATAAGTAAAACGTATATAACAAGGAGGCCCCAGTGTACATTTGAATATGGCCGTCCGTTACAGTAAGCGCACGAATCCGATGATTTGCGGGGAAAAAAATAGGGACTGTCCCCGGCAGTCTAGGTCGCAAAATATTTTCTTCCTTCATCAATCTCCCTTGCTACCTCAAAACTATCTGCACTCAGACG